TCATAAATGATATAGATATAGATATAGATATAGATATAGATATAGATAGATATAGATATAGATATAGATATAGATATAGATATAGATATAGATATAGATATAGATATAGATATATAAAAGCTCCAGCTGACATAAAGGAGAAAACTGGTTCACCAAAAATGATAGAAAAGAAGTAGAGGCCATGAGAGGCACAGGAGATATGTTAAACAGTTATTTTGCTGTAACCTTTTCAGAGGGCAAAGTATATGGAAAGCTGTCATCTGATGATGGGGCATCCGCCAGGGGGTGGGAAAGGTCAAGGGCTTCATGCCCTTGTCCAAGAGGAGGGGTGAGCACCACAAAATACATTGTCATGGGGGAAATATTTTGAAGGACCTACAGTGAGAAACTTCAAAACTCATTAGTTTAATAATAAAGAACCAGAAAGGATTTTAAAGTCTTGCTTAAATTAGTTCTCTAGGGGAATTTGTGCTCGTTCATCACAATGCTCAGATTGTGATGGAGGCTGCTTGAGGGGGTTGCTTGGCAATTGGTGGGAGAGGCCTGAGCTTTCCATTGCGTGCTTCGAGCACAGTCCAGGGAATCAACGATCCACTCACAGCTGAGCATTACCCATGGGACAGAAAGGATATGTGAAATATCCTTTCAGATATTTGTGGCACTGCACATGTCTTTCATGCCACAAACTATAGGTACAGCCATGTCTTAGTGCTGACTTTGGAAGCCAAAGGAAATAAGCATATCCCAAAACATTTTGGGAGGGCAATTTGGGGCACCCACCACTACCCCACTGACCACATCGCTCACTCCATCCCTGTTGTTGACCACTTCCTCACCCACCTGCTTGCTGCTGCAACCTGATCACTCACCTCCCTCCCCCCACTGTCCTCTTCTGCAGTGTCAGGAGATACCACACGGCTTGGTGTGGCCTAGCAGAAGGTTGTCCTGGCTTGCGCAGCACCAGTAGATGCTGTGTGGACCAGCCAGGCTTCCTCCGCCTCCAGCGCTGCAGACATGCTTCTAGAAGTGCAATGGCAGAAGGAGGATGAGGAGTGGTGATGCATGAGGACAAGGTAAGTGCTCCCCCCCCCCATTTTTTGGTTGCATGCTCTGGTGTGAGCCAACTGACCCGTGCCCATCTTTTGGTCTTGCACTGGGAGCCAAATTGGGATCAGAAGCAAGGGGCTTCTGTCAATCCAGGACCCTGAATTGCTTACCACAGGACCCTTGGAGGGTTTGGCCAAGCCATTCTTGAGTGGGCAAGCTCTGGTTATGGCCCTAGTACCCATGCACTAAAATGCTGCTAAATGAGGCTAATGAGAGAGGCTGTACTTTTCATGACCTTTTGGGAGCAGTTCATATCTGCAAGCAAGATTTCTTCAATGTCTGAGAGTATGTGAAGAAACCCCCGCAGGAGCCATGCAAGACCACCCAAGGAGGCAGCCCCAAGGAAGCAGCAGCCATTTCTGCTATTACAGCACCACCTTTTGCCCCTGGTGTAAGCACATAAATGACCCTTTGTTTATGGTGTATATTTGAGTGTAGCTGGGTTTAGAGCACGGTTTCTCTGCACTGTCTGTTCTGCGTGTTGTCAGGGAGCTTGAGAAGCAACCCTTAGGGCTTTTCATGGCTGCTTCCACAGGGACTTTTAAGAATCCCCACAGCAGGATTGGAAAGAGAAGCAACTTAATGTTCTGAGAGGTATGTTGAGCATTGCAAATATAATTAATTATGTATAACCCAAATATTATAACTGGTTTGGTTTTCCTTCAGTACATACATTCTTCAGGAAAGTATCTGTTGAATAGTTCATCTAGGAAATGTTTATCATGACTAGAACAGAAAGAAAATGTGCTCATATTCATATTCATTAGAAAACTAGGATTATCCGTATTCCCATCTTCTGCTTGATCTTAACTAGCACCCAGTCAAACTTTTGTCACAATTTTCCTTCATGCATGATATAAATTATGACTGGTCTCCATGTAAAAATAAAGAAACACCAGGGAAAGGACTAAACTAGAACACTTCCTACTGACAGCTTTAAATGGAGAAGGAGGTTTTGACAAGGGAACGCTCACCTTTCTGTCTCCCTCCCCCCTCCACACAAAAAATCACCAGAGTCATGGTTCTCTTAGTGTCCTGCAAAGTTCAGCCCACAATACTATTAACCACATCCTCTTTTCTATTGGTAGCCATTGGATTTTGTGCAAAAAATTAAAATCCCCAAACAGAACACACTTCAGGTTACAGCAAACACTGGTGGAGGAAGAGGAGTGTGGGGGGAGCGCACCGCCCCTGGCAGCAAGATCCTGGCAGGGTGCCATCGATGCTGCCCCCTTTCACGCTAGGAGCCCCGCCCCTGCAGGCAGCGTGCCCTGCCCCCAGGATGCACGCCATGCCCCTGCGTGTGGCGCGCCCCGCCCCCAGGATGCGCGCCAGTCCCTCCCCCGCCTGCTCTCCACCACCCCCTATGCCGGAGGATGAAGATCCGCCACTGACAGCAAAGTTCAACTTAAATTCCTTCCTTGAAACTCATCCCAGTCCACAGCCAGTACTCAGTTACATGCAAATGCAGCTATAGTTCCAGTAGAAATGCTGTGTCTTTATCCTACACAAAGGGCAGAATGAAATTGCAAGTCAAATGGAAAAACCATCAATATTTATGCTGGTTAACGCTTTCCATTTCTATGGACCAAACCTGCCCTCCAGAAATCTTTTCCAGCTTCCTTTGGCAAGGGTTGCTGGGGCCCAAAGTTGGTAAAATCAAATGTCCCAGCTGAGTTTAACTGAAAGCCTGCAGGACGGGGCTGAGTAGATTTCTGACACCAATATAGTTTTGCAAAGAAAATTAAAAGTTGTTGAGTTTAATTTGAATGAAAGGCCTTTAGGATTCCTGTAGCTTCCTCTGCCATTCTGTCCCTGCTGTTTTTGTTGATTGTCTGGTGGTGAGATTGAAATTATTTCATTAACACCATGTATTTTAAATGAGACCTCTGTTAGTTAAATATCTCATTCCAACAAACCACAGAGAGTTTTCTGACTTTAGCCAGGTCATTTTAATGATAAACACTTCTTTGCTGGTTCACTTCACACTGTGATTTTTGCTATCTTTTAGATTCATATCTATGGCTTGGTGGCAAAAAGGAGACACAATGAAGTCATTAAACCAAATTAATTCATTTAACGGAAGAAACCATTAAAGATGTATGAAGCAAAACGCAATATGTTTGATGCTTAGAAATATACTGTAAACTAAATGAAATCTAAAAACAACAAAAGAATATGCAATTGGGAAGAATAAAGTTTGAAGCTAATTTAGTTGCATTCAGGTCCCACGGAAATCAATGGAGAAACATAGCCACCCAAATAAATGAGACTGAAGTGCAGCTAATTTTGGCTGCAATTCTACATCCACTTACTCAAGAGAAAGCCCTCCTGAACTCAATGGGGCTTATTTCTAAGTCAACATATAAGTAACCTTATATTGCAAATCTAGATTGAACCACAGTCTAGTTTAAAGCTAGAGGTGCTGAAGTCCACTGAAATTGGCTGCAACTGGGCAAAAGCTCGCTTTCATAGGGAGTGTTCTATTCTTCACATGAGAGCAGGGCTGTACTCTGGTATTCCCTACTTTCCCACAGTGATTATGAAGGAACATGCAAATATAAGATTAAACAGCCTTCTGGGACAATGAAACAAGTCACTTCTACAGGGCTCTGTCTCCATAGCTCGCTTCTTTGTATTTTCCCCATCTTTCTATCTGGTGCTGTTTAGAAGAGTCTACTTTTGTGTGTGCTTTGAACAGTGGCGGACTTTGGGCTTTAAAATTCCAGCGGTGCCCTGTGCAACACCCAAATCCAGCACCCCTCACCTCTCACTTTCCATTGTTCATCATTGTTGCAGTGCCTCCTGTGGTGCCCCCTTGGCTTGGGGCGCAGTGTGGGCACTCCCCTAAATCAGTTGCTGCTTCCCACTTCCTTTGGCTGTACTACCTCTATTCATTTGTCAGTTGACTATCACTGATGATTCTTCTGGTGCAAATCATTCTGTTGGTTCAGTTAGTATCCATTGTGATGTTATTTTGCATGTGTGAATTGTGTCATGGTTTATGAATTTTATTAGTTACCTTGCAGATCTTCAGATTAAAAGATGTGAAACAAACATTAAAATAAAGTAAGTAGATGCCTGCTTCTTGGGAGAAAAGCAATGCCAAACCTAGACAGCATCTTAAAAAGCAGAGACATCACCTTGCCAACAAAGGTCCGTATAGTTAAAGCTATGTTTTTCCCAGTAGTGATGTATGGAAGTGAGAGCTGGACCATAAAGAAGGCTGATCGCCGAAGAATTGATGCTTTTGAATTATGGTGCTGGAGGAGACTCTTGAGAGTCCCATGGACTGCAAGAAGAACAAACCTCTCCATTCTGAAGGAAATCAGCCCTGAGTGCTCACTGGGAGGACAGATCGTGAAGCTCCAATACTCTGGCCACCTCATGAGAAGAGAAGACTCCCTGGAAAAGACCCTGATGTTGTGAAAGATGGAGGGCACAAGGAGAAGTGGATGACAGAGGACGAGATGGTTGGACAGTGTTCTTGAAGCTACCAGCATGAGTTTGATCAAACTGCGGGAGGCAGTGGAAGACAGGAGTGCCTGGCGTGCTCTGGTCCAGGGAGTCACGAAGAGTCGGACACGACTAAATGACTAAACAAGAAGAAGAAGAAGAAGAAGAAGAAGAAGAAGAAGAAGAAGAAGAAGAAGTAGATATGTTGTCCAATCTGCATCTTTTGTAGTTTTGCTGGCCATTTGCCATATAGCTGGTGGCTGTCGGGTCCTTGCAAGAGCCACCAATTGCCTTGCCTAATAGCTTCAACTCAACTGGTGACAGATACTCAGACTTTTTGATACTCCATCTTTTCTTTCTCTTTATGGGTGTCAGATGCTTTGCCACAAAATTAGGACTACTCCACGATGCTCAGCTTTTTTGTTTGTTTTTGTTTTTAAAGCCAGGCAGCGCCCGCTGGTGTCAAACCACTGGAGGAGAGTAGGAGATCTAACTAATGCTTTGGTCGATGGAACCGCTGGGCTGAGCTGGCTCTGCATGATGCTCAGTTGCAGATCTCTTCCTTCCTCTCTTTGTCCCAGATCTCACAAATTTTGGATGTGGTGAGAGGATTCCAAGTAGGCAAAGAATGGAAAAAGTGAAGGTGGGGTGGGGGAAGAGTGTTGTGGACAGAGAAGGACACCTTCCCCCTTTTTCCTGACTACTGTTAGGTCCAAAAGATGGCATATGTCTGGCATTTGTAAAGTCCCTTCTTCCAAGTGGAACCTTTTTTATTCTATTTTTAAGGACTCAAAGACCTCCCATGATGTCCAAGGTACCTTTCCTTTGTGAAGGGAGCCAATTTCTTTCTTTTTTAAAAAATTGACATTTGGAGAGTTCCTGTGAGCATGCGCAAAGTGCCCACCCAAACCGTATCCATGAATAAAGGTTTAGTGCTCACTGCTGGATAGACCATTTCTACACAAACACCATGTATGCTAACCTAATGAAAACACGCTTTTCTCCTTTACAACTTCCTATCCTGGCAACAGGGCAAGAAGATTATATTCTAATCTGGACAGTATAAGTTTGATCTACTGGCAACCATCTGCCTGACCTAGAAGCCTTTCCTATAAATGTGAAAAGAGCATTTAGATCCACTTAAACAGAGACAGTCGAGTATTGAGAAGGAGCAGCAGTCACAAAGACTGATGTCAGAAAAATTTCTCCAAATTAAACTATGAATACCAATTGGCTATGGAACTATGAGAAGCTAGTAATTTTATGACGATGTTCCGTAATATATCATTTTCCTGGTGTGGCCCTTATATTGTGAATGATTCGATTTACAAATCTAGCAAATGTCAAATTTATGGAACACACAAAATAAGTTATGCCTTCAGTGGATGACGACAGAGAAGGCACACGATTTACGATAAATATTGTCAAAACCTGCTTTTACCCATATAAACATCTTTTTCTTCATATTCAAAGTTTATAGCAGGGCTTGAAATACATATTAATAGGGAGGCTGTAACATATTCAGAGTTAAGCTGCCATAAAATCTAGGGCTTTTTCACATCATCATCTTTGAAGGTGCATGGAGGCAAGAGGAACTTTGATTGGATCATGCCAGAGGTTTGCAATACATTGCAATAAATATTGCAATATACTAGTTTTTTATACATTCTTGATGAAGAGGCAAAAGTGCATCTCCAACAGTTGCTTTAGAGAAATTACTCATCTGCCTGGAATTGCATCGAAAGTAAACATTGTTTATGGATATATTATGCCAACTGCTCACTCAAGACCCCATGAAAGAAAAAGTGATGCTGATGGTATTTCACTCCTAGTCTTAATATTTCATTTCTAGTCTCATATGAGGGGAGGCAGGGGGTATCCCAGGAACTCTGTGAAAAAGCAGATAGCTTGAAAAGAAACTGAATATTTTTAGTTGATAATCACCAATTAAATAATTAAATTTAAATTAATTTGCATATTGCCAAAAACAAAAAGTGGAGCATTCCCCATCAGAACAAAAATAGCCTAAAAAATAAACAAGTGTGCCCTAAATCTGAGTGAATCTGATGGAAACTTTCAGACAAACTCACAAGTACCCCTATCCAGATTTAGCTGCATGTAAAAAAGTGTGTGTGTGTATTTAACTAGTTGTACCAGGAAGTAGATGGATTATGAAGTTTGACTGCACATCCATACATCCTATCAAAAGCAATGCTATGCAATTAGACACCTTTGTTTAGATGTACAGGCATATCTCAGAGACATCGCGGGTTCCATTTCAGGCCACCGCAATAAAGCGAATATTGTAATAATGTGAGTCTCAGAATTTTTGTGGTTTCCCAGCGCATATAAAAGTTATGTTTATAGAATACTGTAGCTTATTAAGCCAGGCCTGCTTGGCTGCAGAGGTGGGGGGGGGGGAAGGCCTGGCTCCAGCCAGCTCCACTCCCTTGGCCAGAAGGGGGGGGCGGGGGGGCTTCTTTCCGCTGGAAGTGGCCAGGCAGCCTGCAGCTGCGCCTGAGTCCTTGTAAGGAGCATCACCTGCAAAGCGCAAGAAAGCGAAGCGCAATAAAACAAGGTGTGCCTGTATATCCAACTTTTGTCAGTGGTTCCGGAGCAAGCTCAGACTCATAGAATTGTAGAGTTGGAAGGGACCCTGCGGGTCATCTAGTCCAACCCCCTGCAATACAGAAATCTCAGCTGAAGCACCCATTTAGGAACAGTATTGTCTCTGCTGACTGGTGGTAGCACTCCAGGGTTTCAGGCAGGACTCCCCCCCCCCAGCCCTTTCTGGAGATGCGGGGGGTCAAACCTGCAAAGCAGGTGTTCTGCCATGATCCTGCACTCCTTATCTGGACTGGGCCAGCAGCAGGATTTCAAGTTTTGTCTAGTATATTTTGGTTGCATGAAATCTGCATGTTTACCTTCTTGAAAACCTTTACAATAAAGCCTGTTTTGGATCCATTCACATAAAAAATGAGCATTCCACCCTTTCTCTTGTTACACAAAGCAATTTGCCATGTGAGTTTTCTCCTACTTGAGATGGGTGAATCTCTGTCAATTTTGTTTTCTCTCAATTTCTCATTTTTCCACTCCATATTGCATGTGTTTGCAGTTGTTAAAAACAACAAATCATCTTGAAAATCCAGCAGCATTTTAGTGTGAATTTCTCTGCATATGCATATCATATGCTCATCAGCATTCCATTGAACTATATTTCTAATTTTATTGTTTTAACTGTTTTTAACTGTTTAGAGTTGTTTTTTTTAAAAAAATAAATAAATATGTTTTAATGAGACAATGTAATTGTGTTTGAATTATGCATTGATTGTATTTTGGCATATAAATGGTATATACATGCACACATATAGATCTTCATATGCAATTTTGCCAAAAGTATACACATTTTTGCGAAGTTATTTCCCCTTAAATAGTGCATTTTACACACTCTTTTCACTAACATACGCATTCTTGGGGATACGTCGTCTCAGTATATGCATTTTTGTACATCATCCTGAGCTGCATTTCAAATTTCAATAGTTGGCTGTGTTTGGGTTTGCATGTCATTTGTGAAAGTGAAAATTAGGTAGCCTCAGCTATAAATGGAATTGAACAGAAATCTCTAGTAAGGCTACAGTCTTATACAAACCTTCCTGAAAGTTCCGCTGAGCTCAACAGGACTTTCTCCCAAGCAGACACGCGTAGGGACTGCAGTGCAAAAGCCCCTTTGCTCACTAAAATGTCACGGTTCTTTGGATCCTGACAACAGACAGTTATATTGATCAGCTTAAGACTATGGAGATTTGAGTAGTCACTCAACGTCTGACCTCCCACAAGGCTGAATGGCTCCCCTTTATGTCAGCTGCAGTTCTTAAACTTAGAGTTACTGGCCAGTGGCTTCTGTCTAAGAACAGCTGCAGATAAGAACATAGGTGGTGAATAAGGGCATTCTATAAAATAAGCAGACTTACTATGCTTTTCTCACACTGCATCATCTTTTTTGCATTCTATTCTGTCTGCCAGCACACCACAGACTCCCCTGGAGCCAGAGATATAATGCATTTTCTTTCAGAAGAAAAAGGAGAAGCTGCAATCTTGTTTCCAAGCAGGAGCCCCCTCACTTCCTACTTACTTTGAATTTAGAAATATTTTAATTTAAGGAGGTAATGATGCAATGATGATTGAATGAGGATAAATGAAGAGAAATTGATTTTAGAGCAGGATCTGGATCATCAGGGTAGGATATTACTGTAATTGGGGTTAATGGGTAAATTAATTGAACTGGTTTGGGTAATACAGGGAAGGGTAAAATTAATTGAAAAATTATTTGGGGTGATTTGGATGGGAAATTAATCGATTTGTCCTCTGTAAATTGTAAATAATAGTAAGTATTTCTAAATATGTAGCTATACAAGTACATTAACATATGCACATTTAATGCTCATTTGTAACTAGGAGCCTAAGCCTGGGATCTTTAAAACACTCAAGGAAGTGACAAGAAAGGTTTTGCCACCTTAATTTCTTTGTCACAGGTTGCTGTAAGGCATACAAAGTGGGCCAGAAGCAAAGCAGCACGTCTGCTCGTGTGCTAGGTCACTGTTATTTCAATGGAGTAGTTCAAGGAATCTTGGTGAATGATAGTGACTTGCAAAGATGTACCAGTCAGAAACAGCCAAAGCCAGTTTGGTGCATGAGCAAAATAATAATAAATAAATCCCTCCCACCATCCATTATTGAAAAAAATAAAATAATTAACTAACTGACAATCAATTGCTCTCCAATGGTGTCCTTTAAAATCTGCTGCCTGAGTTGGGACCCCTCAGCTGCCTTAATGGTGAGACTGGTCCTGCACCCAATGATAGAGGAGAGGGATAAGCGAATGCCTGCTGGACCCTCCCAGGCTCTTTGGACCTTCAGAACCAAGCAGTTGGTAAATCCTCCTGTACAGAGAGCCTTCCTGATTCCCATCTCCTCCTGCTTCCGGTGGGTGTTGTACTGGGTTCCACTTACCAATCGGCTTGCATTTATTTGAAGGAGGGTGTTCTTCACCTGAAATTAAAGCCCCTGTGCCCCCACTTCCCCACAAATAATGATGTAAAGTGCAGTTGAATTAGGTATGCCAGCCATCCACACTTTGCATTTTAGGTGAGCCCGTTATTGTGCTTTTTAAACCTGCCATTATAAGCTGCTTGCCATAAGGGTGTTAAAAGGCTCCATAGGTTTCACTCATGGTAGGAAGTATTGCAGCAATAGCTACAGGCCAGATTTCTCATAACACAGCAATTTGCATATATCTCAGAAATTTGTATGCTGTGATTACCCCTTGCACAAGCGTTTTTGCAAAGGAGCCACGTTTTGGTAGTGACAGCAGTTGTACAATACTGTTTACACGGAAATAAATCATAATAAAACCCATTAACAGCAGGCAGGAAACAAGACAAAAATCCATTTTCTGTATTGCCTTTTTTTTTTTTTTTTTTTTTTTACAATTTAGCTCCTAATGCACAATGAACCAGGCATCCAAATGAGGTAAG